TACTGAATCGTTCTGTCTCCGTCGGGCTTTTGGTCAGTCAGACGGTCAGTGTACTATGATGTTTCGGCTGTATTCCGGCAAGGAACGGTGCAGAGGGTGTTTGATGTAAAGTATTGAAAATACTGCCAGCTGCGTGAAGTCCGGCCTTGTCACTTCTCACCGTTAATCCAATGGCTCTAACCGTTTTGTTGAAGAAGGCCGGCGAACGAGCGAACAACGTATTAGCCAACTTAGGCATCGGTACCGCAGAATTTCTTCCATTATGCATTCGAATGAATGGTCGTTTTCTTGATTTTCATTTTCAGTCGAGTCGAAGTTTCCCGGAAAAGACGGTGACATGATCTACTCAAAGAACAACATCTGTGTACATCCGCCTTCGTCCGGCGGTGATATGATTCAACATGTCCCCGGCTACTTGACCATTCACTGTCAACAAGTGCAGGTAAAGTGTCATGCTCCATCCTCACAATCCGCCCACGCTTTAAACGCACTACTGTTTCGTTCTGACCACTGCGGCTTTAGTTATATTTGTGAATAGTAAACAGATGTAAATCGATTAACACCTTGTACTAATTGTCATACGATATTGCGAGCCATCATCTGGGTCACCGTGAATTGCAGCCTTAAGAAGGCCTAATGACGGTACCTCTCGCTCATTATGGCGTGACTGCAACACAGCTCCATGTTGTGCCTATTGTGTTCATGTCAACGGTTTGCTGTCCGTTTCTCTGCTCCTTTTATTGAAGCCCGGTAGGACACCAGTTTTTTGTTCATTGACTTCGCTGTTTGGGGAAGATTTTTCTTGGAATTCGAACTCCTATCACCACCACCTCCGCAGTTCAAGCTTACATTTGATCACTGCGCCATTATCATTTCACTTTCCTTACAATCAGTGACCGAACGCTAATTTCTTGAGTACATTTTTTTATTCTAGAGCACGAAATTGAGTGTACAATACATACTTCTGTGTTCCTCGCTTCCGAGCAACTTCTAACTGTTACTGTCCAGGGGGTTTGTGGATTTACTGTTTAAATGGAGCCATCAAGATGACTTTGTTTCAATGGGGATATAAAGTAGTGTAAAAAATGTAACAGAGCAAAGTATGAATGAATGCAGAACATCACAGTTACAGAATTATTACGGTAAAGACTGTTGAGCATGGTAGAATGATAGCCATCACTACTGAGATGGCACATGTTGAATATATTTTAAGTTAAACAAAATGAGAAATACGTCGCAGATCGAAGCAAACAAAAAATGGACAAAACGGAATGATAAAAGAAACACACCAAGGGGCAAAAAATCCACACAGAAAAGTTATATGCTGTTCCAGTATATTAAGTTATGATCGTCTGTAGTATTCAGAACAGTCATCGTGAATACGCACCAGACATGCAAGAATGTTTTGCAGAAGGTGAAGACAACTGAATTCAATTTTTCAGATAAGGTCGAACGTATCAAAAGTTATTGACCATAACGAGAAGGCAGAAACTCGAACAGTTGGCATTCTGGATATCCCGTCTTTAATTTGCCTATACCTGTAACAAATTCGTTTTTTCTGGTTCTGGTTTGTCGTTTGTTATTCCATTGTCGTTTATCGCTTCAACCCAATTCTGAGTCAACGCTAGACCTAACCTTTCAGCGCAGTGGTTTAGGTTTGCAATGAGATTAGGCTGTTTCTATTGAACGACGAATTGATTGCAGTACTTGTCGTTTTGGCGGATTGACAATCCGGGTGATTAAATATCCACTCCACCTCTGTTCTTCCCGTAGTATTGAATAAAGTAGAATTGGTTTGCGCAATTAACACTTTACAGATACGTTACTCAGGTATGAAGGGGAAGAGTGCACTGCCTCCTTGCTCCTAGCTGCCCGATATCATTTATGTCCCACGCAGAGGCTCCACTGGATTGAGCGCTTCCAGTTTGCTGATGCATCACAGAGTTGGCTTCATTAAACTTATGTTGAGAACATCATTGTAAACTTAAAAACACACGGTACAATTTGAGTTTTTGTTTTTATTTACGCGCCTCCACGTCAGAGCGAAGGCACGGAACAATCCTGCTGTACTTTTTCGAGTTTTACACAAAGTTTTGCCTTACACTCATTTCTTGCCTGTATTTTCTTCCAAGTCCTTCGTGTTTTAAAGTTTTTTCTTATGTTCAGAACGCGGGCATCACGCTCACACTCCAGTGGCTTCCGAACGAGTCGCTCGAGAAGAATCCCGCAAGAATCAACACCATGTCGCCTCGGTCGTCACCGAACATTCAGTACGTCGCGTTGCAGAGTCACGCCAAGCTTCGCAACGTTTCCTCTAATAAAACGGTACTTAATTTGGTACTTAACATACTACCAATTAGTGTTGTTTGTACTGACTATAGTAATACGAACAGTAGGGCGTCAGAATCCTCTATGCAACTTAAGTTTCCGCTTATGATTGTTCAGTGCTTTGATACGCCGCCGTAACAGTTCGCCAGTCTACTCTTGCTCACCTAATCAAGTTCGGGTGATGGATGAAGGGTGTTTTTCCTATCTATGTTGAACCCGATTAGCCTCGGTTGACTAGTCATGACAGTCAGACGTATGCAGACTTCCTTATAGCTTTTAAACCAAGCTGTCTAGAAAAGTAAGTTAAGTACATGTTGTCTTTTCGCTATGCCCTGATACTGTTCACTTACATTGTATCTCCCACTCTGTATTATGTTTTGCATCTTCTTCATCTTCCATCGCCGTTTCTCCTTTCGGGTCGCGGAGGCAGACGCGTCAGACAGTGCCTCCAACGTTCCCGATCCTGTGCCAGAGT